TTTATGTTTCATTGGACATCCCTAAGACTGGTGACTATCGTCTGGCGGTTAAATACGCCTATGAAGGCCTTGAGGCTGTTCACACGCAAGTCACGGTACAATTCAAAAACACTTCCGAGGCCGGAGAGTTATTCAACTTTTCAGCTACTCTACACGAAGATAACAGCCCGGCTATCGTAAACAGCGGTCAATACTTGCGACTGAAGAAAGGACTGTGGATGCTCAACATTACAACTCTACAGCAAAGTGATCAACTAAAACTGGTAAACAGACGTTGCTAGATGATTTTACAATTCTCCTAAAATTAGACTTGATAACACTACCACGGTAAGTCTTATAGGGAGTGTCATGTAAGCGCTCTTCGTGAAAAAAAAACCTTAAGGTCAGACATACAGTTGGACCCTGCTATCTCTTGTCTCTAACAAAAAGTCATTTCGCTTGGATTTGGTCGTGATCATTCAATATCTAAATATCCGCTCTTGCTTGAACTCGGCAGAGAATGAACTAAACCAAATTTTACCCCCGTATCACGGACTGTGATAACCAAAAAAAGTACCGACGTTGATTTCAGACAAAAACAATAATTATATGAAGTAATAATTAGAACCCAAGTGCTGTACTGGAGACTACGTGAACTGTGTTTGTTCCAACTGTATATGAACGCTTCAATGTTACATTAGTAATCCAGAGTTTTTGGCTATTCGAATGTCATCGCCTTCACGTGCAAGACAAAAAATTAGCCATTGTTTTATTGTACTGATTAATATTTCAGGGAAAATATGCCAATCCCTTTAATTTGAAGCCCCACTATCCCGAATTTTTATTTCCCTTAGCAAGTGCAGGGTCCCACAAGTACCTACTGCCTGCTATCCTGATTGACTGACTGACCGACCGACCGACCGACCGACCGGCTGACTGTTGTCACACTCCTTCACACCCCGCTCCAGGGCCATACTCTGGGTGTTTAGTTGTTAAAAAGTACAGCCTTACAAAACATTATTTTCAGTTGTACTTTCCATACTGAAATGGTCGTTTTCATTGTTTCATTTTCAAGGACGGTGTGATGGCAATACCAAGGGAATTTATAGAAGCGGCAGTACTGGACCCCGAACTGAGCACGCAATTCGTGTTCCACTGCAGCGTCGTTGCAAATGATATGAGGTAAGACAATCTTATTTTTTATTAGAGTAATTATAGTAAACACTTTGTTACACAACATTTAAACAGATTTTCTACATCTCAGCAAATTTTGTCACTCACTGAGGGTTTCCTTAACTTTTTGCGTATTATTCGATATCTTCATTTCATTTAAGCAGTTCTTAACAATACATCATAGTCTCGTGGTTCTCAGCTAACTAATCACAGAGTTCCAAGACTTGTCTCCGACGGGACACTCTACTGGAACTCGAGTTTAAAAAAAAAACGATATTTCCTAGAATATAAACTTGATTTACTTTTGTCATTACTTTTTTTCTCACTGGCTGATGAGTTTAGGATTCAAGTAACATCGCCATGGTAACTGAGCCACCCACCCATACCCCCCCCCCCCCAAAAAAAAAAAATGTCAGCTTAGACAGGGATTCAGCACAAAGACTTATGAACCAACTCATACGTCTGTCAAATTTTGTAATCAGAAGTTACCTTTTCCATAAAAGTTACTGCTTAGTCAACCCTGCTAAAAACGTTCATCGATCATGTTTATTTCTTTCTTTCAGTTCTGATTCCAGATGCTTGTCCTGGTTATTCAGTATTACGATGGACTTTCTAGACGGAGCATTGCGTAAGTAAACTTAGACGCTTTCTGAGAAAAAACAAAACAAAACAAAACACAAATAACGATCTGATTTTTCATCGACTCAAGAAGGCAATTTCTACCATTATCTTTTGCATAGCCATCGTTCTTAAGTGTCTAGTATCCTCAGTTAATTTACTGGATTTAAGTGTGTGACAAAGGTTAATTTCGTTTTACCAGGGTTTCTGAAAAAATACTTGCATGAGAGAGTGCAACAAGCTCGACAAGTTACCAAATTATAGAACCGGAACCGGTGATTACATTTTGACCTCTATCGTGTTTGATAAATTTCTGCCGAATATTTAGTTGTTTTTAAGGAAACTGTTGATCTACTAAGGCGGGCAAGTGAAGCACGCTACTATTTATCATCTTGAAGTTGATAAAGGTAAATTAGCCGCTGCAGAGAGTTAGTGAAGCTGAGTGTTGGCCCGTCACCTGTACTTAGGCCCTCTCTTAGGGAAACTACATTCAGGCTACCTGGATCTCGCAGCAGTTGTTGTTGTAACAAAACACTCGTGGTCGACTGAGGAATAAAGACTGTNTCAACCCTGCTAAAAACGTTCATCGATCATGTTTATTTCTTTCTTTCAGTTCTGATTCCAGATGCTTGTCCTGGTTATTCAGTATTACTATGGACTTTCTAGACGGAGCATTGCGTAAGTTAACCTTAACGCTTTCTGAGAAAAAAAACAACAAAACAAAACATAAATAACGATCTGATTTTTCATCGACTCAAGAAGGCAATTTCTACCATTATCATCTGCATAGCCATCGTTCTTAAGTGTCTAGTATCCTCAGTTAATTTACTGGATTTAAGTGTGTGATAAAGGTTAATTTCGTTTTACCAGGGTTTCTGAAAAAATACTTGCATGAGAGAGTGTAACAAGCTCGACAAGTTACCAAATTATAGAACCGGAACCGATGATTACATTTTGACCTCTATCGTGTTTGATAAATTTCTGCCGAATATTTAGTTGTTTTTAAGAAAACTGTTGATCTACTAAGGCGGGCAAGTGAAGCACGCTGCTATTTATCATCTTGAAGTTGATAAAGGTA